TATTCTAGAAAATCAGTAGCATTTGCTGATGATCTTATAATCTATCATGCAGACAAATGGCCTTCTAAAATTCAGGAGAAACTTCAAGACATATTTGACCGTATTCGATTTTTTATCATTCTTGGAAACTAAAAATAAATACTAACAAGTGTGAGACAATACTGTTTAGACCAACGCTTTTACAAACAAATAGAGTCACAAAACGAACGTACAAAAATTTTTACATGAAAGACATTGACAACGAAATAATATAATAATATAATAATAAAAATATCGTTAAGCATCTCGGAGTTAACATTAACGAAAGACTACTTTTTTACAAGCATATTGAAATCCAATTGACTAAACCAAAAATAGCTTTTATGATTCATAAAAGATTATTTTATTCAAAACACTTACAAAAAACTAAACTTATTTGTTATTAATTATTAATTAGACCTATTTTAACTTATGGCTGTGTTATATGTTATAATATAAGTGCATCTTTTATGGAAAAGATCAGACTGTTCGAACGAAAATATATTAGAGCGTGTTTAGACAAATACAGGTCTAGTGAATCCAATTATATAAAATATATAAGCAATAAAAGAATTTATGATATGGCTGATATTCCTAAAATCGATAATTTTATAATAAAACTGATTAGAGATCACTACTCCAGCGTAGCTAATATAAAACAAAAGTTTAATATTTGGTGCGTTATACCCTAATAATGAATATTTCGAAAAATGTATAGCTACAGGGTTTGTATCTCCCGAAGCCTTTTTATTTCTAGACGCTAAGGGATATATTCAAAACAATGATAATGTACCTGTTATTTATCACATCGTCCATCATAATAACAATAAGAAATTAATCTATGCTCCTAACTTTGGAAACAGTAACACTGAATACAGACGGAAATATAGCATGTTTATCCCGAACAGAGATATAAATGATAAACACAGGGAAAATAAAGACAAATATTGGTGGCTGGATTAAATCCTTATTTGTTTAATTTATTTATAATTTGTTTTATAATATATTTGTTTTTTCTTATATGTATATTTATGACTATTTTATATTTTATAACTAGTGTTTTATATTTTATATTTTATAACTAGTTATTTCTATTATACTGCGTATAATGTTTTTTATTTTTATTTATAATATATAAAATCTCATATATATGATAACGTAGCTAGTTTTTCTTGAACCTTTTTTCTGGCAATATATATTCATTTTGTTAAATATTACTTGGCTCTTTCACAACATGTTAATTTTGTTATTAATTACCGCTTCGTTTTCTTATTATAAACTGTATATGGACCGTATCTGCGAGATGCCTTGTTTGAGCCTGTTCAGATCTATTTAAACCTGTTAGTGAAAAGTTTTGTTTATTAAGCTTATTGTATACATTTAATTGTAATTTTGGTCCTAAATAAACGAACAAAAAAAATACCAGTTCTCGTCTGATCACTGAAGTCAAACAACGTTGGGCATAGTCAGTACTTAGATGGGTGACCGCTTGGGAACACCGTGTACTGTTGGTATAATTTTTCTTTTTTTGGTAACTTTTCTAGCATCTCCTTCATTACTGTCATAAATTTAATGCCTACAATAAATAAATATTTTTTAGTTGCACATATTAAATAATGTGTAAATAATAATTTAAATAGTTAAAAAAATATTAGTGATAAGTATCACTTCTATTTTTACATACATATTTCCCTCTTTTTTACAATTGTTATTATTCAACAATCATATTATTATTTAGATTATACGATCAAAAATTTCTCAAGCATTTTTTTATCATAATTTTATTTACTACACTCACATAAGTACGCACACTAATAAATTTTATAATTGTATTCTATATTTTAAATAGCTACTTTAGTAATTAAAAAACTAATAATGGAAAGCTAAAAAAAATTTAGAGATTTATAATATACTTTTTAATTGTAATCAAGCACTATAATAGTATTGTAATATTAACTACATAAATATGTATATGAATTGATACATATAACTGTGTGCGTAAAAAGAGTTAATACTATAACAGAAAAAAAATATAAAGACTTTTAAAATTAGTAATGATAAGTTTCTATACATATCCATGTATAGTGTTGTCTGATAACTTATATTTTCACTACCAAAATACACGGGAAATGAATATTTGTTCATATAATTGAATAGTAACGAGACGTAAATTCGTTAACGAGAAATAATATTCCCGATTACCGCGACCCGAAAACATTCGGCAGTATTAAAATTCGGTAATAACTGAAAACAGTAGTCTCTGAGTAGAAAGCTCATACAACATATCATTATCATATATATCAAGATTATATTGCAAGAAAGATTTCAAGATTACATTTTGCATGAAAAGTAATAACTAATTGTTATAACTGTCCTATAATTTTGTTATATATGTTATAACTGTCCTATAATTTTATAGACAATTATTTATTTTAAACAGAAAATTATATTTATATATATTTTATTATATGATAATTATTAGAAATGCACAATTAATTATATGTGTGGCAGCTGGTACTTTTAACTTTACTTATTGAAAAACTCAAGTTTTGACGGTAAACTCATAGTGCTTTCAATGCACTATGATCATTGACACTTGACAGTCTTCTTAATTTACCGAGAAATTTATTTAACCCTTTATAGGGCAAGACTCCCTGGATATGACAAATGAGTTTTTTTTTTAACTTTATTAAAATAGTCCTTAGAGATATTTTAATATAATTTTTAAGACTGAAAAAGTTTTTGATAAGAGATATCACCGGTATAACTGTTGTACTAGTGACATGCAGGAGAAGCGTTTAGAACCATTCCCGATTCTCTCGGCCAATTCTGTGCCACTGGTACGATTTATGTATCAGCCCTGTAAAAGGTTAATACACAACTACGAAATTTTTATTGCTAAATAACACGATGACCAAAGAAACGATGAGAAATTTTGAAAGAAAAATTAATTAAAGAAAATAAATAAGTTGGCGCTTTCTATTATTAGTTTCTTAATTACCAAAGTAGTTATTTGTACACTATAGTGCAGTTGTAAAAATATATTACTATATGTGCAGTAATTAAATTTATATTGCTACTATATTGCAGTAAATATATTTATTTATAATATATTTATATAAATATAATATATTTATAATATATTTATAGTTATAATACATTTATAAATAAATATAAATTTATAACAAAATATTTATAACTAAGTAAATAAATTTATAATTTATAAATTATAAAAAATGTTTGAAAAATTATCAACAAAAAGAAAAAAAATTATGCCAACAGTACACGGTGTTCCCAAGCGGTCACCCATCTAAGTACTGACCGTGCCCAACGTTGCTTGACTTCAGTGATCAGACGAGAACTGGTACTTTCAACGTAGTATGACCGTTGACATTTGCCAATATGTTTGAGTTACTGGAAAACTTATTTGACATATAGCTACAAAATTTTTACTACTCATGTAAGCTAAATAATAACATGATAGCAAAAAGAACGATGAGAAATTTAAAAAAAGAGAAATATTAAAAGAGGAGGGAGTAGTTGACGTTTCCTATTATTAGTTTTTGAAAATTATAAAAAAAATTATGCCAACAGTACACGGTGTTCCCAAGCAGTCACCCATCTAAGTACTGACCGTGCCCAACGTTGCTTGACTTCAGTGATCAGACGAGAACTGGTACCTTTTTTTTAAATTCGTTTATTTTAGGACCAAAATTACAATAAAATAATACAATAAGCTCAATAAACAAAACTTTTCAATAACAGGTTTAAATAGATCTGAACAGGCTCAAATAAGGCATCTCGCAGATAAGGTCCGTATACAGCTTATAATAAAAAAACGAAGCGGTAAGTAATAACAAAATTAACATGCTGTGAAAGAGCCAAGTAATATTTAACAAAAATAATATATATTGCCAGAAAAAAGGTCCAAGAAAAACTGGCTACGCTATCATACATATAAGATTTTATATATTATAAATAAGAATAAAGAAAACATTATATGCAGTATAATAAAAATAACTAGTCATAAAATATAAAATATAAAACGCTAGTTATAAAATATAAAATAGACAAATATATATAAGAAAAAAAACAAATACATTATAAAACAAATTATAAAGAAATTAAAACATATAAGGATTCAATCCAGCCACCAATATTTGTCTTTATTATTCCTGTGTTTATCATTTATATCTCTATTAGGGATAGACATGCTATATTTACATCTGTATTCAGTATTACTGTTTCCAAGGTTAGGAGCATAGATTAATTTCTTATTGTTATTGTGACGGACGATGTGATAAATAACAGGTACATTATCATTGTTTTGAATGTAACCCTTAGCGTCTAGAAATAAAAAGGCTTCGGGAGGAACGACGAGAACTGGTACTTTCAACGTGGTATGACCGTTGACACTAGTTTCTCTTCTTGTGTTACTGAAAATTTTATTTGACATACAGCTACAAAATTTTTACTGCTCATATAAACTAGATAACAACATGATAGCAAAAAGAACGATGAGAAATTTTAAAATAGAAAAATATTAAAAGAGGAGGGAGAAGTTCTTTTATAGAAATTTAATATTGATAAGTGATAATTTATCCAATAATAATTACTGTCGTTCAATAATTTTATTACTTGTACAAGTAATAAAATTACTATTTATTAGTGGCCAATTTATCACAGCCAGTGATAATTTTCTACAATGGTTGACGCTTCCTATTATTCGTTTTTTAATTACCAAAGTAGGTAATTTGCACAGCACGCTGCAGCTATACAATTTTTATTCACTGTGTGCACTAAATATATTTATCGAATCGAGTTTTTCGGTATCAAGAAACATAATAGTTACCATCTTTTTTTCTGAACGTGATTGAGAAGATTGAGATATCGAACCGTTTGATTTAAGCGTTTCGTAATCGGCGCCCTCTGCGTTATTCGTTAAAAAGAAAAGAATGAAAGGATAATGAAAAAATGCTTACCCGACTTGCCGACACCTGACTGGCCCATTAGGATCACCTTGATCGTCTTGAAAGTGTCCCTGTTGACGAGACCGAGGCCCCAACTGATTGGAGGGCTGATCCTCTTCTTGGTGGACGCCAAAGGCGGCGGACTGTTGCTGTCCATGTCTTAATCGCCACTGCTCTCTCGCTAGGTCGTCCCATCGATTATGAACCCTCATCGTGTGTTCGATGGTATTTAATGGATGCATTATTCATGGCGATCTGTCGCGCGCGCTTCTCAAAGGGTGCGCACGTAATAAACAACAATCTATGACGGCAACGCGTGCGTCATTAATTATTATTAGAATAATTACGTAGAATCTCACGACGAGTTATAAAAAAGAAACACGTAATAGACACCGAAGCGACGCGAAAAGTCTATTTCGGGATACGCCCACTGGTATTATTTCGTGTATTATTAACTCAAGTATATTCCTAATAAAAAGAATATTCCATATGTTTTCGAGTGATACTTTACGATTGTTGAGAGATAAATATGTGTGTTAAACAAATACGTGTTAACTGAATAGTTTATGTGACCTCAGGGATAATTTAATTATAGATACATATCCGATCTGTTTCTAACAACTAAATACATTTGTATGCGCGCAAACATTAAAGATTAGAGATCGCTGCTTCATCGTTATTTTTCTCGTGGAGTACTCCGATTTGAAACGAACGCACGAATTAGCTAGCGAAAGGATATCGTGCGATTAATTACCGACTACATTAATTGCGCCATATTAATTGCTGACAGTGTTAATTGCGCCGTATATTATAGTCGCCGGCCTGTGTGTCGCAGCGCCACGCGCCGAGATGAGACGGGACGAAGCAGTTGTTATTAATTTTACATAAGTCTTAGAGCAAGAGAAAGAGTAAAGAAAGAAAGAGAGAGAGAGAGAGAGAGAGAGAGAGTGTGTGTGTGTGTGCGCGTGTGCATGCGTGTGTATACGTGTCCGCGTGCGCACACGACTTCGACATTTCTTTTATCAATTTATTACGTGCCACGGTTTCTTAATGCGCGTCTTCCGCAGATACGGCGGTCGCCGACTTGTCGCGTCGCGTCGTCCAGTGTTTTAATCGCGGTTCGATGCACTTGGCACTGAGGCGCATACCGTTCGTTGATGGTGTGTATCGCGGATAATCGTTTTGATTGCATTCGGTACGGTTTTTCTCTTTTTTTTCCCTTTTCTGGGTACGTCCCGTTTGACGTTTTCAAATACTCTAAACACTTTTGTTTCCGATGGTTCCATAGTTTTTGTTTAAACTAATTGTTTGTTACACGTATCAAACAGTAATCTTCTATTGAATTACTTAAATTTCGACGATGCATCTAAACGATTGTGTACTAAGTTTTTACAAAACGCATAAAAAATATTGTATCAATTTAATATAAAGTTATAACAGTATTAACAACAATAATAGTGGCGACAATAAGAACAGCAACAATAACAACAACAATAATAATAGCAATAATACTAACAATAATAATAATGTTACTTTATCAGTTGCTAAATTAAGGGGTTATTTTATTTGGAAATTAAAAAGAATTTTTGTACTTAGAAAAATAGTTTGAATTCTTAAAATTAATGCGCAAAGGGTCTCAAGTAGATATGCGAAACATATTTTGAGTTATAGCATTTGAAGCGGACTCGTGTACCTACACACAGGTAGACGTCTGAACACATTGAACGACACAGCGTTTTATACAGTTGTCTCCTTCAGCTCTCACATATTTTCAGCACAATAGGGAACGATTTTCTAAAGCACTATTTAGGAGGTTTCATTCAAAATAAAATGAGAATCAACTCATTTGGTCCTTTGCGCCAAAGCAAATATTTAGTTGCTCCAAGACAATAGAAATTGCCACGTACATTGCAGTCAGCATTTTCAATAAAAGTTTCACAAACGTGCTTTTAATGATACATATGATGAATTTTGTCATCATTGGGCCGAATATAGCTGTAATATGAGAGTAGCAAGACGGAACATGAATTTTCATAAGCAAGGCATGAACGTTCGAGTCTAAAGAGGTTGAACACACACACACACACACACACACACACACACACACACACACACACACACACACACACACACACACACACACACACACACACACACACATATATATATATAAGGAGTATGTGTGTGTGTATAATTGTGTAATTAATAATTTCGGATTTTTTAGATAAACTGAAATATTGGTATTTTTATCTTATACTTTTTGAAACAATATATCTGTGTCGTTTTGATATATCATTCTTTGTCATCGTTCGCATATATTGTTTCATAAAATTATAACGACAAAAATATTTAATTGTTTCATTTTACCTGAAAAATTCAAAATCATTTATTAAAATGATTTATTATACAATCCAACACTATTGCATTACAATTTATCTGCGCCTCCGAATAAAAATGTTTTAGCTGCATTACTTTTCTAATGCCAAAAGCGTTAAGAACGAATTGAAATTTATAACGTATTCATGATGTCATATATATCAATAGAATGCTTTAAAGTAACTTTTCATTTGGTGACATAAGTCGATATCCTATTTTTGTTACTCACTGAATATAGAACACAAAGAAAGTATGATATTTATACACTGCCAGCACCGTATGTGGCAAGCACACCGTTATATATACTGACTCGCCGTATATTACATTACAATGTCTTAATTGATTCGGGATGTGATTGACATATTGCTACCACATATCTCTTTGGTAGTAAAATTCATGATGACAGAAACTTTATAGTGACGTGTATTTGTGACTTCATATGCGATTTGTTGAGCAGCTATTGATAACTTCGAAATGCTTGACCATTTTTGAAAAATCAAAATTGGTTTTTACTGGCAAAATATTTGATAAATAAAATGTATGATTGTACATGCATTTGCAAGAAATTTCATATCTTTTTCGTTTATTATAGGAACTTTATTAGACTGTTAAGTTTATTATAAATATATCAATCTTGTCAACTGAACTAAACTACAATGTTAGCCTTGCTGATAATAAAATATTATTCTGTGACGACTTGCAGAAGAAATATCATAATTTTTGTGCCTTTGCGACCAAAACTGTACGTCGTTGTTACATACCGTGCTTGTCAGAATACCAGCTTATGTTCCTAAATAGAAAATAAACAATGTTATTAAGTAGGTCATACACAAAATATTTCGAAACACTTGCAATTCTTTATTATTTATTAACCGTGCGTCGAATGGCACGAATGGCATCATATTTGGTAACGTAAAAACATTTCACTTTCGTGCCGCGTCTATCGTAGCCGAGTATACCTTTGATCCGTATTTGTTCTTCAGCCGTTACCTTTTCGTGTTTACATAACGTATTCTTAACAAATTCGACGAGAATAAATGAAGAAAGGACAGTCAGTGAATAAAAGGTTGCAGCAATAAAGTTTTATCGAAGTTTTAGCCTTTATTCTAAACTCTCTTCTATTGATAAAAGTGCCTCTCTAAGTATGCTTATAAGCTAATCAGAAGACTTATGAGTTATATGTACATGCATTTTTATTGATAAAAGATAGTTCAGGGTCAATAAAGGTCTTTATCTCGATGAATTTCGCATTCACAGGAAAATGTATCTTCTGACAAAGTAGAAAATGTATCTTCTGACAAAGTAGTCTTCGGAAAATGTATCTTCTGAACCAGTTTTTTTTTACTAAAAAACTGGTTGCATGTGTTGCGAAGTTTAAGTTGAGTAAAAATGTAGCCTGTTATCTACTGATTATACAGTAAATGTTAGACTGTAAATGCTAAATTAATCGTTATGAAAAGAAAACAAAATCCTCCAACAAATTTCTAAAATAACCTAATAAAGGTAAATTAATCGTGGAAATCGTATAGTAGACGATTTGTAGAAAATTTCTGAGATAGATCGAACACTCATAACACGCATCCACACGTACTCTGTTCTCTCGTCAAGAGGCAATCGGAAGTATGTCGATAACATGAAACACTCGCCACACTTCGTCGTGACTAGATATCGTCGCACGTGCACACGTCGTGTATGTGTATCTTGATGTGCTTGTCTCGTCTCTTAAGGGTGTTGATGTATGTGTGGAAAAATACGCGTTCTTTTTTTTCAGCCTTAAGCGAAGAACGACATGCCTCTGAGAGGCGGCTATATTTAGTTCGTTCACCTAGTCCATCGATTATGCCCGATTATGGGAAACGAGAGAACAAGATCCGAAGAATACATAGTATTGATCATTCTTCGCGATAAGGACAATATAGCAATATAGGGAAAACTCAGATAGGTTCGCAAACTTTTCAGAATATTGATATATAAATAACATAATATTGATTCAGAATATTAGAACTTTTCAGACAACTAATTACTGTAACTGTCTACACGAAGATGATAGAGATAATCTACCCTTATTCTTTTATGTTTAGCACGATCTTGTAAAATGTTTTGTTTTTTTTAATAACTTAAGTGCGGACAAGGTATAGTGATAAACTCTACTCAAGACCTGAGGTAGGCAATATTGAAAAATGTTTTATTATTTGTTTCAAATTGTTTTCTTCATTTAGTAAATGAGATTAGAGAGACTATTGCCATACACACACACTTTACAAAAGAGTTACAAAAATATATTTTTGATAGCCAGAATATAGTGATTTTGATTTTTCATATTTATATTAGCGTAACTCTCGGTTTTTTAAATATTTAAATAAATAACTATTTTTTAAATATTTAAATAATAATCTATAACTTTTTATACTGAATTATATACACACACACACACACACACACATATACATACACATAAGAAATATTTGCATATTGCAGAATAAATATGTATGTATAAAAAATATACAATTTTATATAGGGTGGAAGAGAGCGTATATTTGTTGCATTTACAGTCCCTTATACGAAACCTGTCGCGGTCTCCTCTATACAATACTCGTTGGAAATTTAAGAAAGTTCTAGCGTTTAACAATACATAAAATAAATCTATAATATGTACACAATATAAAAGTTAATCGGACTAATAATGCGTAACAAAAATTTTAATAATTTTTACTGTATTATTTTCTCTTTTTTAATAACTAGATATTTAATTATTAAGTTGTATTGTACAAATATATGTTTATAATACAACAAATTTTTATAATACAACAAATTTCTTTTAATTTAACATATTTGTATACAAAACAGATGCTTATAAAATTATTGTAATAAAATAAACATTTAAAACATATTTTTTAGTGATTATATAAATTTATTGTCAGATTGATGAGAAATTTAGATTTTGCAATGAAAAAATTTGTAAGATCGACAATATAAGTGGAAACATGGCAATATCCGCGTTACGCGCGGTTAATAAATAATAAAGAATTGCAAGTATTTCGAAATATTTTGTGTATATGGACTACTTACTAACATTATTTATTTTCTATTTAGAAACATAAGCTGGTATTCTGACGAGCACAGTATGTGACAACGGCGTACAGTTTTAGTCGCAAAGGCACAAAAATTATGATATGTCTTCTGCACGTTTCCACAGAATAATATTTTATTATCGACAAGACTAACATTGCAGATTAATTCATATACATAATAAATTAGTACCGGATCTAACCAGAAAAGTAATATATTCTAATATCATTTTTACATTTAATATTCATTTTAACACAACGTTTCCAATTCAAATGTATTTATGCATTTTCAATTCAAATTAAATGAATTTAAACATTCATTAAATACAATATCGAATATATTTGATATATTTGATATATTTGATATTTATATTCCTCTTATTACAATTGATATTAAATAAGTGTCTTACAATTTTTATTTTGTTATTTTTAAAATATTTTGTAACTTCTGCGATATGCAAATATTTCTTATGTGTGTGTATATGTGTGTGTGTGTGTGTGTGTGTGTGTGTGTGTATAATTCAGTATAAAAAGTTATAGATTATTATTTAAATATTTAAAAAATAGTTATTTATTTAAATATTTAAAAAACCGAGAGTTACGCTAATATAAATATGAAAAATCAAAATCACTATATTCTGGCTATCAAAAATATGTTTTTGTAACTCTTTTGTAAAGTGTGTGTATATGGCAATAGTCTCTCTAATCTCATTTACTAAATGAAGAAAACAATTTGAAACAAATAATAAAACATTTTTCAATATAATATTGCCTACCCCAGGCCTTGAGTAGAGTTTATCATTATACCTTGTCCGCACTTAAGTTATTAAAAAAAACAAAACATTTTACAGGATCGTGTCAAATATAAAAGCATAAAGGTAGATTATCTCTATCATCTTCGTGTAGACAGTTACAGCAATTAGTTGTCTGAAAACTTCTAATATTCTGAATCAATATTATGTTATTACAATAACAAAACGATTACATATTATGTCATTTACGAATTTTATTTCATTAATGTTGTTACAAAATTATTTTTCAGTCATTTTAAACGATAATATAAGTACCGATTGACTTAAAAGTAGCATTAGATATTTCTCAATTGTGCCACAATTAGCAAATCGACGGCAGAACTTCTTTCTTTTTTCGATTTCTTCGATTTGATTTCTCGGTTGATCTTTTGTTCATCTTCATATAACAAGTGTTTGTTTTTTCTACATAAGTTACTTGACCGGATGACAGCGTGCTATAATTAATGGGATATGCACGTTACCTTTTTGTTTAAGGCGGCTTAACCCTTGAAATTTCAAGCCGCGTTAAGTTCCATCGATTATTATTACACAGGCGAGAGAGAATAAGGTCGGGAGAGGATACTTTAAGAACGCTCTGCGTGAAAGCTCAGTTCCTCATTACTAAACCATATATAATCCTATTAACGTTTATAAGTACTCACTATCTACATCTCTCTTATACATTAATAACGTGCGATAAGGGCGCTTAAGTATTTTCGGAAAATTACCGAGCAGCCGTCGTATAAAGCTCGAAATAAGGAAATTCGGCATTTAAGTGGAATATCATTTCGCCAAAAATAAAAATAGGTCTCCCGCTATTTCTCAGATATATTTCTGATATCAGATCACCGACAGTTCATACGGAAATAGAAGTTTATCATCGATTGGCCCACAAATCGAGAAAAGACTATTCGAAATATCGCTGATAAATTTGCTCCGAAAATCCCCCGTAACGATAATAAACTCTCTCCGATCTCTTCGGCCCGTCATAGACGAATGAACGAGTGGGTCGGCGCGTTACGTGTTATTGCACCATTATTCAATTTTCCCAATACATAATCGGATTTCTATTTTTATATGGTAGACGTCCGCCCACTCGAAAAATAGATAACGGCCTCGCCGCATGCCGAACACTGTGTTCACGTCTTAATCACGCTGGGATGGCCCATCCGAAAAGTGCGCCTGCGCTGTCTCCCTTTGGAATTCCTTTAGCGATTTCTTGTAGAGTGCACGCGTTTCCTGGTATCCGGTTCAATTGATAATCTAAATATAGAACGGTTCGATCGGGTCGCCGCCGTCGCCGCCGCCGCCGTGGATAGGAGAATAGCATGTTACTCGTTGACCCTTGCCAGTTTTGCGGGGTTATCGTCTGGGCGGGTCCCACTTATCATTTATCACGGTTAGGTCTTCACGAAACTACTCGCTCGAAAAAAACCTCAGTGAGGCGCCTGCGGCGCGTATCGAATCGACAAAAAATGCACGAAAATAAAGAAAGAGAGAGAGAGGTATCCCAAAAGCCGGCGTGTTAAACGCGAGTAAGATAACGATGAAGATTCCCAGCGTTATAGGAAGGAGAGAGAGGGAGAGAAAAAGAGAAAGCGAAAACACAAGGTGGAGAGGTCGTTAATTTTCTTTCTCTTTTTCTATATTGTTTTCGTAACGGACGTCGTAATCCAGCTTGTGTACGGCTCATGCACGAGGCCGGAAGATGACACGAGTTCATGCGTGAGTTCATGTGACATCCAAGGGGTGTTCTGTTTTTTTCCGCGGCGCATTGATTATATTAGCAGGAAGAAATTCGATGGATCAAGCAGAAGGCTTACGAAATTATCAAGAATCGTTTTTTTCTCAAATAATTAATTACACTGGAAACAACCGTCCCACCTTTAAACATTAATATGTAATATATATACTCTCTTTCATGTGCTTTCTGAATTTATTTTATTCTGAATCAAATTTAACTTACTGCATATAAAATTTTTTTACATATATATATGATAGAGTCACAATTGAATTCAACTGAATTTGTACTTCTGTAGAATAAAGTTTTCTTTTAATTTAAATCGCGCTGAATGAATATTTCTTTTCAAAATTGAAAAGTGATCTGACTAATCTACTAAAATAAATTTTAAAATTTATAGAAGTAATACAGGTAGATATTAAATTTAAAAACATTTATTGTAGGAAAAAAACATTGTAGGAAAAAATATATATATATATATATATATATATATATATATATATATATATATATATATAGTTGTAAAGAGTATAAAATATCATAAAACTTTTCCATAAACTATTTTTTTATACATTTTATAATTTCTATAATATTCACTGAAAATGAAATGTTATTTTCGATCCTTGAACGTCGAAATAAGCGCATAAAAACTATGGAAATAATAATTTTTGCTGATTTACACATGTCGATAGAGTCCATCAAAATTGTTAAGAGATACTTCTATCTGTTTCCTTGCTAGTCTGATACTGACTTTGCAATTGACTAGAGCAATTGTTAATTTTCGAATTATTACGACCGAATATATTATTTAATACAAAAATTGTATCTTTAATTTAAACCGTCAATTTTTAATCTTTAAATATAATTTTGTGGTATTAAACATTAATGTAACAATTAAAATTAAAAGCTTATTAGTTATATAAAACAAAATTAAAAAAAAATTTGATATACGAAGTTTTCGCGGTGAAAAAAGGGGAATTTCTTCAAAATCGTCTTTTTTAAAGCTATATTTCTAATTTGAGCTGATCTATATGTGTATATGGAAGCCATTTCAAAGTTTAGAAATGAGATATGTATTTCAATCTCCTGTAGAGTACGATAGAGAGCTTTAAATTTTAATTTTCCGTTGTAATTTTATTTGCTTCGAGAACGTTAAAAGGTGTGTTTAATAACATTTAAAAAGAATTTTTTTGACAGTATGAAAAAAAATAAGAATAGTAAAAATATGTTCTATTGTTTTATTTTCATATTTCTTTCTTATATCATTAATTCACAAAAATTATAATGTAGCTTATATTTCTTAAAATAGAGCTAAATCATTTTTTATTTTTTTCTGTCTCAAACTGATATTTTTTTCTGTCACATATATATAAAAATTAGAATTATGTTGCGAAATTTGTTGAGCAATGATATCATTATCGCAAGTATTTTCTACGTATTATATATGAAATCTGTTTGTGACACCCAGTAGCCGACGATGCGATAAAGAAATTAAATTGGCAAGCGATAAAGAAATTAAATTGGCTGCATGCTAATTTGGGAGACAGCGGACAAATCGTTGATACTGCTGATGCACTGTTTACGAGCAGAGAAGGGCAGAAATATCGCCATCGCTCTCGTGGAAACATTAATAAACCACGAGGTATGACTAAATGGATTGGAATTTTTTATAGCGCTGGCAGTATAAATCAGATATTTTTATACTTGTAATACCTGTGTACACAAACTTGCGAGTATTAACACCCGTGAGTACTAAAACAGAATTAAATAATTTTTTTTTAATAACATTATGTTTGTCTGTATATAAATTTATTTTCTTCGTCATATTCTGCGTATAAAATATTAAGCATTAATAAAAAATGAGTACTACGCCAGCTGTTTCATATTTTATACTAACAAATTTTTATATAAATTTTTTTAATCTAGAGAGACCAGCGAGTGGCCCTAGTTGTTCATATACTTTTTCTAATATTTACTTTGAGAGAAATACAGTGAGAGGGATACAAAATCACAAAATGTTTTTTTATAGAACACATACACTTTTTTCTGAGTTTCTATAAAATTAGAATAATATTACAGTTAAAAAATAAAAAAATTGACTTAATAGCAACAAAATAAATTTTCGAACATCTTGAAATTTTATTAATATTCCTATATCGTCAGTGAATAAAGTTAAATGACGTGTTATTAACTAAACTAAAGTTTCTTGCCCAAGTATATAATATATTGTTTTAGATAATGAAAGCAACTTTTATTTACAAAATGACTGAATATGAACGGACGAACGAGGTAAAGTTGGCGCATATAATTAAGAGTCAATAGGAGGGCTGTGGAGACCTCTCGCGGAGACTCCGAAATTACTAACTAGAATACATATTTAATGTGTGACTTTTTTATCCTGCGCTACTAGGCAATTGAACCTAGTACTAGTGCAGCTGCATACTGCTGTATAAAAATGTACGATCAACAGGATCGTGGCGGGCATTAACACATAGAAGAAGACGAGAAGAATGTTTGTATATTCTCTCTATCAGTTTGCACAATCAGTCAGAACAATTAGTTGTCTGAAAAGTTGCAACTTTGTAATTCTGAAACATGGGCATCTAGCTCCGGTTTCCCTTATTATAACGATGACTGAAATTTCTGTTACGCATTGTTAGTTCGATTAATTTTTGTATAATATACATATTATAGGTTTATTTTATATTTGGTCCAAAGCTAAGATCTCCTTGAAATCACTAATGGAATCACTAATGGAAACCGCTAGTCTTTCGACATCGAAAGCGCGAATACGACAGGAAACGTTGCCGTGACATGTGTAAGTTACCGTGCCTTGTTTTATAGGTCTGTTTTGACGCGCATGACCGTGTAAAATCGGTTTATTGCTCGTTATAATGGTGGCCACCCCAGAGTTCGCCGATGCAAGACAATATGTGCTGCTCATTTTACAGCGTGACTGATGAACCATATCTTACTCTTAATCCGTCGAATCCGGGTCGATGTCGGCTTCATGCGATTAAAGGTTCGTTCGGTTGCCCTTTCTGCTCAGAGAGTAGAGTGGATTTAATTACAGGTATAATTCGTTGAATTATTAACAAAGAACCGACACGGGAATAATTTAACAAGCGTGTGGGACGCAACTGAAATAACGTCACAAAGTGAATTCGTGCGCGACATTTATCATTTTTAGGCAGATCGCGCTTAATCCAAGCTTTATCGACGCTCGGACGATCACCATTGGAGGAGCGTGGAGTTGTTATCTACACGAAAAGAATATTATATGAAAAAATATTACATGCAGCTTTCTTTCATATGAATACCTTTCAATATTAACATATCAATATTAATATACATTTCAATGTTAACATAGTATAACATGTTTAGTAGAATGCAGGAATAAATTATGAGTGGAGAATTTACTTTGCTAAGAAACACAATGGTAAATTTTTTATTAGTTTCGAAAATATAAATATATATAAAACGGGAAGATAATAAATTAAGGCAGAATGTCAGTCAATGTTCCTCGAGATTATAAAGTTCTATAATTATCTTTATTGTAAAATTCCTTCCGTGAAGCCACTCACTACGATGTATAGCGAGAGATCGTTCCTATTTCTTTTCATATTTTATCCGAATAAACGATTGCGTTTCGACAGTTTCCTGTTTACCCGCGATTACCCTCACTGATGTGCTGAGTCGTGTCGTTATTATTTCTGGTAATCAGCGATCTTGCAGTCGTGGCCCGAGTCAGTAATATCGCGACGCATTTCGTCGCGAGCGGCATTACTCGATCGTGTTGTAAGTGCCTGCCTAAATCGCATGGCTTCATCCCTGCTTGTTGCTGTTTTCCATGAATACATGCTCGCCGTCTGTGACCTGACACGATTTTTCTCCGTTATAAAAAGACCGTTTACGCCTGCGACTGCGTGAGAGCGCGAGAAAATCTGCGGACGCGACGAGATAGAGGCCTCGGTTCTCTCTATTAATAAGCGACCGGTTCGTGAAAAAAGATGACCGACGAGTTCGCATTACCAGGAATAATGTTATAACCAGGCAACAATGTTGATTGTGGTCTCAATTATGAGCCGCGCGGAGCATTAAAATGTCGTTAGCGTCCCGTTTCTTCTTCTGTTCCCATCCATTAACCCCCGCTGGCCGATCAACGCGTCAGATAGCGTGTCCAAGTCGTTGTGCCTTCGCGTGGTTGTGCGTGCTCACGCACCTTGCGGTGCGCGGCGTGTCGTGTACGAAGACAGCCGGCTGATCTCGTCGTCTCACGATGAAGACCGTTTATCTGCAACGGAGAGGGAGATTAAGTTATTAACACATAGCCGCGTGCGCGACCGTTCGGGGAGATCTATCTAACTATTCCATGATTCATCATTGAATGGATAGGTAAGTGTACTTTTCTGCACCACTTTTGTTATAAGAACTCAATATAAATATAATAAGCATTGGTAACGTTATAAGTCGATATCTAAAACGAACATTGGCGGATATTTGAGACTTTTGTTGGAAGATATATAGGGTATCCGGTAACCTACAGAGGAGCTACGATGTACAGGTAGATTAGATCAAACTGAAAAAAATTCCTCTACCATTTTACGAACAACCACGTAAACTTCTAAGATATTAATCAAAGAAGATTCGTAATTTATTTGTTCGAATGATCAAGATGCTATACGGTAAATGAACTGTGATGGCAAAGTCTGCCGCTTTATGCTTGTATATTAGGTCAAACTGAACAAAAAAAATCCTTTATCATTTTCTATATATGTTTAGTTATTAAAGAAGTATTGTGTACAGTTATGCGCGATAATGCACCAATATTTTTTAATTAATAACTAAACATCTATATCATGACCTAATCTATCTGTACACCGCAGCTCTTCCGTGAGTTACTGGACATTGCCTGTAAAACTGCCTTAACGTAAGACAATAAAGTCAATTATTCGCAACGGTCAACTTATATTGGCTTATTAAAACATTTTACTTGATTTATGACCTTATTATTTTTATTATTTTGATTTCTAATATCAAAAAAGAATTTGTCAATTTTGGAAATCAATAAAAATTGTCCTAATATTCGATTTAAACTAAAAGTATATTAATCGAAAGACTAAATAAAATCTTTGATAAATTCGAAGATGGATCGATCCAATGTCCCGTGTCACACTACGAATTGGAGATAGAGGATTGCGGATTGAAGATTGGAACTTGACCAATTGGAGCCAAGCAGACCAAGACCAAAGTACATTGATTCGTCGAAATCTAATCCGCAATCCTCCATTTCCAATCCGTAGTGTGACGTGGGCTTAAAGCAGTGTGGCCAAAAATCTCGTCTAGTAGCACCGGTAGTATTGAGAGGGAATGACGCACACAAACGTGCCCATGTACATGTGCGTTCTGAATTAGTGCGGAACGCACATTACATGGACACATTTGTGTGCGTCATCGCCTCTCAATACTACCGGTGCTACTGGGCGAGATTTCTGGTCAAACTGATGTAAAGAGACAACCCATGAGTCTGATAGCAATGGCTCGTGTTTGTTTACCAACATTAAATGTTGTTGTCCTCTTAACTAATAAATACTGGGAAGGAGTAATTTATAAATCAAACGACGCGGTGGCGTCGCGACGCCAAGTACATAAAGACGAGTTCTGAGAATGACAGGTCCAAAATGTGACTATGTTCATGGTACACGAGAAGCTACCAAGAAGCTTTTCCGGAGTTTATGTGACGATCATACTTCCAACTAAAATATCTCGGAAGATAAAGATAATGAAAGATCTAATTGCATTTCTGACAGAAACGTTGATACAAGCTTTCAATTGCGACCAATCTAATAAAAATTAGTGCAGTCAATCCTGAGATCTGAAATTATCACAACCCAAAATTACAAATTTTCAGCGGTCGGTTTCTCTTCCCGATAAATTGTTTAAGTCTTTTCTACAACATGTGGCAAAGTTTAAGTCTCTTGTACATTATGTCGTGACGATAACGCTTTAATATCACTCTTAAAGGGCTGGAGTCGATGACGAACTCGAACAACGTCAGTAATGCAGAGACGATCGTTACCAACATAATCACGCTATCCTTTTCGTATTTCTTGTATATATAGAATTTATATGAATGTGTGGTTCTGTTTTACCATATTCACCAAAAATTTAATTATTTATGTGTAGAAATCTTTCTGCAAACTTTTTCAATAGTTTTAAGCTTTTTTAGGCAAATGCGAAAGTAGATCAATGTTCATTAAAATTTTTCTGTTTGGAGCATCCACATTTTCGGTATAAACAAGCTGCGGAACTTTTGGATTAAACAAATATTACGCTAACTGACAGCTTGAGATTTTACATTAAAAATTTGTTGTTCGTTTTCGTCACATATCGAGCAATACTCTTATTTAGTTTTGCACGTACTTTCATTGCGTAAAAGCATTTGTAATTCTGTGTAACCAATACGACGTAAACTTTGCAGAAAAATGTCAGTGTTTTGTCGGTAAACTTTTTAGCTTCAACATCCTCTTAAGGGGATTATCATAAAACAAAAAACCTTAAAAAATACGCCAAGTACATAAAGCCGAGTAAATACCTCCCTTATAAAAATATCATACTAAGAATCATTGATAATTACTTATTATCCAGTATTTTTAATACTGAAAATAAGTAATTATCAATGATTCTTAGTATGATATTTCTATAAGGGCTAACAAAAACCCTTTATAAAAAACTTAACAAAAATTAAAAATCTCTATAAATGTTATGTAAAAAGGTTGTGCATAAAAGTTGTAAAAGTGTAAAAAGTTGTAAAAAGTATAAAAAGGTTATGTACAAAAGCAACCAAACATTTTTATCAAAAAAATTATAAAAAATAAAACTCAATTAAAATATATAAAATTAGTAAAATGATCTAAGTACGTGATTCATTATTATCAAATTAAAATAGATTATAACTAATGATCCATTATTAGCAAGTTACAATAAATATAATTGATATAAAAGACCAATATATAAAAATCAAACTCATAACAAATTCATAACAAAAAAATATTTTTATACATAATAACCAAAGTAAAGTACAAAAACTTGGCGTGCCCGGGTCGTATTTGGAATATTAGTCTTCACTGTAAAAATTTAAAATGTGTATGTGTTTGTGGGAGTGGGGGGGAAGGACGCATGTGTGCTTGTTTTAATACGATCCGAGTACGCCAAGTTTTTGTATTTTACTTTGGTTATTATGTATAATAATCAAATATCTCAAAATAAAATATTTTCGAAAGACTATAGACTAATTTTTATTTTTTAATCAGTGATATAATATTCTCTAATCAATGTATTTTTTATTGAAGTGCTATACTTATGACTGGTGGTTCTGTTATAAGTATAGCTCTGCAATCGCGGTGAAATCTCGCACAGTTAATAATAGCGACTGTGCCTATTATTGATGCAGTTTGCAAGCGCAAACAATGTCATTGCACGCAAACCGTGGTAAATGGAGATCGTTAATTCCATCGCTATAAATATAGAAAGTTGGATTTTGCACAGCATATAACGAATTTATGTATTACAGATTTTGTATTGAAATCTTATTTGCACTGATAATAATTAGTGAGATATAAGATTGAACAGTAAAGCGAGAGTATTGCCCCTACGAATATTCACTAATAATTATTAGTGAAATATTCCGTTTACTGATTTAAGCAGAAATATTTTTATTGATACACTTTAAGAGAGTACGTTGAACATCTTAGTTACACAAATAGCATACTAAGGAAATGCTATTTATATACTACACAGCTCAAGTAGAAACTGATAAAAATAAGTGTCTTCTAAATAATTGATTATTGATGGGCATCCCTAATACCTATGAAGCATTCGGAGAGACATACCATATATTTATATGTATAATATATATTAAATGTACTATACAGGACATGTACATAGTATGTACATATTAAGGTACATAACATATAGAATAAATTGAGCATTGTCATTGGAGGACTGAAGCTAAGATCGAAGGACAGAGATATGCTGATAATAGTGCTTTCTCTGTCAGACAGTACCGTAGATGAAAGTGATGTAGGCGAAATAGAAAAGTGAGAGTAAACATAGCGAAAGAAAAAGAAAAATAATATATTTGTATGTATTTGATCGTAAGAAGCAGGGTTGGGTAGTAACTAGTTAAAAGTTAAAAAGTTAAATAGCTTTAACTTAACTTAGTTACATTTTTACACTCTTAACTTTTAACTTAACTTAGTTACATTTTATCGGTAACTATTAACTTTTAATTCAATTATCTTGAACTATGCAATAAAGGTGTTGCGAGATATCGAAAGGCTGTTCAGTGCAGGAGGGCTCATTTTCGACAATCTTCGAGGAAAAATGTCCGATAAAATTTTCAAAAAAACTTTATTACTTAAATTTAATAAGTATTTGTAAATAAAACATGTTTCCAAATAAGATGTATATTTGTTTTTTCCGTTATTTGTAAAATTGAAACCCTGAAGTCATGAAATGAAACAAATTTAACTTTTAATTTTTTAGTTACTTTTTTTATTAACTTTTAATTCAATTAAATTTTAATTTCATTATGGGTTAACTTTATCTTAATTAAATTAAATTTTCAAAGCCA